TGCTTTTGAGAGCTAAGCATGAGTAGCCAGCACCTCAACATTTGAGTCTTTCCTTCAGCTACTCTTAACTCTATGGGGCAGCAAAACAACTGGGTGGTAGTGGGGATATTTTCACTCTGTACTGCACAGTATTTGAAATTTCAGCAACATTCCAAGTAGGGGAAAGGGTTCCTGATATTATGCAAACATCATATTACATGAAGGATCCTGGAATGAATTCATCGTGTTATATGTAGGTCTACTGTATATATTTTGAATCAGAAGTATATTGTTATGAAAACACGCCATTGTCAATTGATCTATAATCCTTATGCTTTATTCCGCTTTCAGAGAAAGGGGTTTCCATGAGATTCTATGTTTTATGGACTTCAGACTTTTAATAGATATTTTTCATGACAAGATTCATAATGCTTCTGAATTTTTATGTAAAACAAAGCAAAGTAAAAGTTAATTAAATTATGCTTCCAGGATGTTAAAATTGTATTAAACAAGAAGCAAAATAATTGACTAGAATTTGTAAAGAATTTGCATAGACAAAAGTTACCACCGAAGATGACAATTATTTTTTTAAACCAAGAATGGAGGCACGAATAGAAAAAAAGTGTCTATTGATAAATGTACAAAAAAATTGAATTGTATTCTAGGATGTGCATAAGATGGGATGAAATTTTCAATAGTCTGGAAGATCCAAAATAAATGTTTTAAGTGTCCTTGGAAGCCAGCTTGGTGTTCTGGGGAAAGGCAGCATATCAATCAATTAAATAAATACATCTGAATAAATACTTTTAAAGATGTTTTAATGGGGAAAAAAATCTGCTCCCCTGAAGTGAAGTGTCAACTCTTCTTTAGTTCTGTATCTTGTTTCTACATATATGGCATTATAGATATATGGAATTATTCTTTTCTAGAATATCCATCCCTACCCACCCACTTCTTTAAAACAGTGGGACTCAATGCAGTGGTCAAGTTTCCAAGAAAGAGTAGCAAATGAGCACACATATGGTTCTGGTGCCCTGCACATTGGGAACACCTCCCCCCCCCCCACACACACACAATACACATCGGTCTGAGAAGCACTGCTTTAAACCACTTCTGTTACCCTTTACTCTGAGCCCTCCCCCGGGGGGGGGGGGGGTGATAAGGGCGAAGTACAAATGTCTGAAATAAATAAATAATAATACTCATTCACTAATATTCACGTTCCACTTCAACAAACCCTTTCCTGAGAAATACATACCAAACCATCCTAAACTAGAGTAGGAATAACACAGTTCTTCAGAATACTGCAATTTCCCATATGCTCACCATTAGCTATTGCCAAGGCCTGATGAGTCTTGTAATCTACGAACACCTGGAGACCAGCATGAGCCCCACCTTGTCTTACGTTAACCTTGCCTTCACTTTAATTGCCACCCCAATTCTCCTCAAGTACATTCTGATTTCTTTCCCTTCTTGACATATCCCACGTAAAAATACAGTCTAAGGTCTGGACAGGAAATGCATCACTTTTATATTCTGCAGAACATTCTAGCACTCTATCAGTGTGTAACTGAAGTAGTTGTAAGCAGTAAAACAAAAAGGTCAGCAACATGACTGTAAAAAAAGTACACCTGGACCATTTTTACAAGAATTCCTATTTGTGTCAGTGATTGTTTCAGAGGTTTGCTTGAAAACAATTTCACAGAAAGTGCATGTCATAGAAAGCTATGCCTTTAATCATAAAGGCTAAAATAAAAATCAAGTTTGAAATGTGTCCTTATCGTTGGAGGTTCTGCTTGCAGTGTATCAGGATAGAAACTTTTGATTTGTTTGTAGCACAGAGCACAGACTTAGAAATGATAGTATTTGTTCTGCATGTGTACCAGCCAGATCTTTTTGCATGTGAGTTATAATAATGTCAAAGGTATGCAACTATGATTATGCAGCCCCCTTGATTATGACATGCTTTAATGCAGTTTGCTCATCTGGAGAGCAAGCAATACCACAGTGATCCAGAGAGATTCCGAGCCACGTCCCATACAGATGTTGAAGCCAGAAAGATGCTCTCACTTTTTCCCTGTTGATCTGCTGAGTAGTTGGCACAAACGATGCTTCTTGGATTTTGATTCTTGGCCGTTTACCTAATTCTAACTATAGAATAATCACAATTAATGTAAAGATATTCAGGATTGTATGCGTCTGTACAAATGTGCATGTTGTGTGTACTTGTACCTTTTGGCTACTAGCTCCTCCCAGTTAGCACTGAATGAAGCCCCCAAGATATAATAATAATAATAATAATAATACTGTGCTCCAATCCACTTAGCAGAGATTGAAAATTTGTGGGATCCCGATATACTCCAAAAATTGAAGTTGTCCACATAGATGGCTAAAATAGTGCCACCCTTGCTTTCTATTGGTTCAAAAAAAGTTATTTAAATTATTGTGTAAAATTACCTTCAGGTTATGTGTATAAAATGCATATAAAACATAAATATTTAGACATGGGACCAATTTCCAAGATGTTCCATTCTCTGTGTTTGTGTGTGCACATGTGCGCGCACACACATAATTTATTCCAGATTATTGCCAGTGGTATCTAGGTAGTTTTTTTTCAAGTTGAAAGGAATACATGAAACACATGTCAGGGGTAAGTGCTCAGAGCTGGCTTTGGATCATCATCATCATCATCATCATCATCATCATCATCATCTTTATTTGTACCCTGCCACCATCCCCCCAAGGAGACTTGGGGTGGCTCACAGAATCACTCCAAGTGCCACATGCAGACAACAATACATAAGTATAAATACAATGACATAAGTATGACCAACAATGCATAAAAACCTCATTAATAAAATTATAGAAATTTGAAAATTATAAAATTCCTAAAACACAGTGGAATCTGCCGGCAGACTATCTGTCATAACAATCAATCAAAGTGTGGGCTGGTACTATCAGTTATTCATCACATTGGCCATGGATTACTCAAGATCAAAGGCTTGTCTGAAGAGCCATGTTTTTAGACTCACCCAGAAGGCCTGAAGAGAGGGGGCTAATCTAAATTCCTTAAGAAGGGTATTCCAGAGCCAGGGAACCACCACTGAGAAGGCCCTCTCTCTTGTCCCCACCAATCATGCTTGAGGTGGTGGTGGGACTGCAAGAAGGGCCTCCCCAGCAGATCTTAGTGCCCACACCAGATCGTAGAAGAAGATGCAGTCTCGAAGTTAGGTTGGATCTGAAGTGTATAGAGCTTCATAGGTAATAATCACAATTCATGTTAGCCCTAATACATAGGAAGCAGATAACAGTTATGGATCCTCATGATGACTAACAGTGGACGTAGTAGTTTTGCTTTTGCAAAGAACCTGATTACACTGTGCTGAACAAATAGATCCCTTCTCCCCATAGTTCTAAAATATTAGTGTGAGTACTCCTATAGTCCTCAGTAAAATAGTTTTTTTATAAAATATACCCTGTACATCCCGAATAGATTACTGCAACGTGCTCTAAGTGGAGTTGCCTTTGAAGACTGTTCGGAAACTTCAATTAGTCGAATGGGCGGCGGCTAGATTACTCACCAGAGCGTCATACAGGAGCACCCCCCCCCCCCCGTTATGTCAGCTCCACTGGCTGCTGATCCAGTTCCAAGCACAATTCAAAGTGCTGGTTTTGACCTACAAAACCCTTTACGGCTCTGACCCAGCGTACCTGTCCGAATGTATCTCCTATGTCCCAACTCGGAGTTTAAGATCTTCTGGGGAGGCCCTGCTCTCGGCCTCACCTTTATGACAAGTGAGACTGGTGGGGATGAGGGACAGGGCCTTCTCGATGGTGGCCCCTCACCTGTGGAACGCACTCCCCAGGGAAATAAGGTCATCAACATCCCTCCTCTCCTTCAGGAGGAAGTTAAAAACCTGGATCTGGGACCAGGCCTTCAGATAAGCTGGCAGATGGATAAAAGACAATGACGGCCAGAGTAGGAAAGGTCAATGACAATGCTGGATGAATTATGGATTTATAAATCGGCGAACATTGACCACAAGATGATTTTATTACTGTTATTGTATTGATTTGATTGTTTTAACTAGTAATAACTGTTGATGTTAAATTGTAAATTGTATATTGTATTTTGTGAATTGTTGGGCATCAAATTGTGCCTTTTGTAAGCCGCCTTGAGTCCCCCCTAGGGGGTTGAGAAGGGCGGGGTAGAAGCACTCCAAATAAACAAATAAATAATAAATAAATAAATACTCTTATCACATCACCAGATACATTTTTGTAATATATTTGGATTGTGCCTGTGATGTCTGTTATGCTCTAACTGTTTTACATTGTTTATCATGAAATGCATGGGATATATCTGGATTATGGTGACTTGAATGTTCAGTAGCACATCTGTTTTCAGCAGAGAAGCAAAACTGACAGAAACCTTTCTCACTTGTTCAGATTGTCTTGTTATCATCTTCCACTCCATCACCCATGAAATCCTGCATTTTTTAAAAAAATAATGAATAGACTATATCTGAAATGATTTTTTTCCAAACTGAGATTTAGAAGTATTAAGTATTTATGTTTTTTTTTATGAAAGTAGGGGTTTGGGGATAAGGATTGATATACAAATGGTATGAAGACCTAATTCTCATGGTTACGTGATTATTACCAACATACCATGGCATATAGAATCCAAATTATACGTAAAACAGGAAATAATCTACAGATTAAATGTTGTGAATTTAATCACAGCAGAACTCCTAAATTTGACTTATTTTACTCTTTTTTTCATGTTGAAACTATCCTGTCTATGACATTGTACACTCTGACTAGTCCTGCTCCATTACAAATTCATATAGGGGCTCTATATGCATTCTTGTTTCAGTCACTCTTTACTGAAATGTGTTCAGTGTCAGGAGGTGCTGAGGTGTTCCAATTGGATTTTACAAATTGCAAGTGGGGTATCATTCATGTACTTGAATATTTTTGTTGTAAATATTTTTTTTGTCTTTGTTTTACATTTGCAGTCCTTCATAAACAGCCCAGGGAGGTGTGCCTTTGTTTGCTTGAACTTGGAAGGATTGCTGCCAGGTAGGCAAAATTATTTAGAAAAATTAGCTTTATTGAGAGAGATTGCTTCGGCACATCTTCAAGTGAGAGCTGTTGTTCAATAACATCTGGGGACCCAAACTGGGTGAAAACTAAAGAACACTGACCACTATTTCAAAAATACAGCTGTCCTCCTGAATCCACAAATTCTCTGTCCATGGATTCAACCATGAGGCTGATGTGGCTCTTGATGAAAATAAGTTTGACACTCCTGGGTTAGATTGTGAAAATGTGCAGAAAAGAAAAAGAAAGACATTCCTGAGCAGAACCTGAGAAGTCAATCTGATGAGAAAAGTTGAATGCAGGTGTAGTCAGGACCCAATGGGAATGCAGTGATTTACAGCCTGTCAACATCTGCAGACAGACAGGAAGTCAGTGGGTTATATGTATAGGTGTTTGTTCCAGCCCTAGCTGATATTGCATTAAACAGAAGGGACTAGGAAGCAGCTACTACAGCTCACAGATGTATCACTCATAGCTCCCTGTATATTTATTTCAAAGATCAAAAAATGTCTCTAGAATTTGATCCTTGATGAGGGCAGTCCTTTCTGTAAATGTTATTGTTCTTGGCTACAGAAAGTTCTTACATCTCAGCACAGTATGTCTATGAAATTGATTGAAAACAATTTCAATCAATTAAAATAGAGGGGGAGAAGAGAGCAAGTATGTTGTAAAAAGAACAAAGCAAACTCTCCTATACCGAGACCAGTTTTTGATATCAAGTGGCAGGAACTCTAGATTTTCAGGAAATAATTTCTTAAGAGTCATGTTTGAAGATCCAAATCAAGATGAGACCTATCTTAGATAGAGTGTTAGCTGTTGAGTAAAACACTGAATTTAAACTCCTAATAACAGTCATGTGCCATGTTTAAGAATTTACTACTGTAGTACAAACCTATAATCCGCTTTCACAGATGTATCAAGTGCCCTGTTCTCAGAGCCTAGAGTTACAAGTTTACAAGGTTCTGTATACACCATTATCATCCTCATAACAAGCAAAACATATTGGAAGCAAGTAGATGGTATGCCTCACTTACCTGACTCTGTGGATCAAGGGTTAAAAACACAAAAGGCAGTTTTATCAGAGTAGTTTGGATTGTAATAAATATTAACATGTTCATTCACCCATAGATTTTGAACATTTAAAAGTGCAATGATGTCTGCAAATCAACAGAGCTTGAGGCTTTAGCGTGCGAGTGAATGTTGAATGTTTCATGGGAGAAATTCTGAAGTTGTAATTTAAATAGCTTGAATTTAACTTCAGTCTGAGAGGCATTTGACTAGGAATCCAAGACAGACATAGTCTTAATCTTCACCATAATGCTCTCTTTGCCTGGTCCTGTATCAATAAACTACATTGCAGGGTTTTTGTCTACTACTCTCTCAGCTCAATGTTACAGGGCAGGCTTATTTGGTCGCAAACTCTGAGGCTGAGAATAAATCCACAGTGTAACCAATGAAGAATAACATACAGCACATAAGCTTCAAGGAAGAAAGCTAGATGTATTAAAATGTGTGTGTCTTTTGTTGGGAAGCCAATGTCAGCTTACACCTGTACAAAACACTTACTCAAAGTTAAATAAGATAAGGGTTGAGAATGCTTGCACTTCTAACAAAACTGTGAGATGTTGAACAGATGTGACCAACAATACTCTCATAGTCTGTGTAATGACTGAGGCTATCAGGATGGCAGACAGCCAAATACTCTGACTATAATGTGAGGGCTGTCATATCACCTAGAGCTATCTTATTTTTGTTTAGATAGGATGTCATACACAGGGAATAGTCAGCACCTTTGTTTTGAATTATTTTGATTGAGTGAGAAACTGCCCGGGCATGCTGAAAGACAGTACTAGCAACAACTAGACGTATTCTAAAATAGATATATCTCCCATTATGGATGGATGGCTGTTAAGAAAGTTATGCATGTGACAGATGCTGTTAGGATTTAACAGTGCTCGAGGAGATTAATCCTTGGATGCTCATGTGTTCACAGATGTATATTTGGAGATGCAAAGTCCTCAAAAGAAGATATGTACTTCTTAATATGTGGCAAAATTGTTTGCCTTAAGACGAGAATGCTCCTCTGTATGTTTACTATTGAAATGACTGTTAAAAAGATGAAATAAAGGTCCAGTACTTATGAGACAGTAACATCTTAATTGGATTGTACTAAATATATGATGCTTTACATACAATGTTATGTAACATGATGAAAGAAAGTACCCAGACTTTGACCTGTCAGTGTTTCTTATTTAAGGAAATGTATATGTTTGTAAATCTATGATTGAATGTAATAAAAAAAAACTCTGAAAGATTGCTGAAGAGCCTGATAACTATCCCGTAGAACTACCCTGAGATTCCAGTACTTAATGGTACCTAAGTGGAGTGTTGCTGCTAAGCCGGCCTATCCAGTTATAACCACAGTCATGAACTAGACGCCTAGGCATCCAAAACATGATAACAGAATCCCAGATATTATCAAAATCCATTGAAAAGTGGCAATGGACATAAATTCCTTGGGTTCAAGAGCACCCTATTACCATTTGGGGATAAAAAACATATGAGGCTGTATTCTCAGCTTTAGCTCTATTCCCAACCTACAGTGAGATCTAAAATTATCCTAGCAGTGTAGTATTGTTGTAAAACTTCTAGAACTTGACCTCATTTTTTCAGTGTAAATTATATTATGGGGTGTCATATGCCACTTACTCCTCGCCACTGCCTGATCAAAACTACAGGCAGTGAAATGCATTAATTTGGGGATTTGTGTTTGTGTGTTTTGATGTTTAAGTTTCACATTAAATAAGAATGAGGCTGGAAAGAATAGGAACTCTGGGTTGTTGTATGTGCTGGTGCCTGGACTTCAGCTCCATTAATGTGCTAGCTTTAGCCATTGATTTCTGTGAGTAGCTCACTTTCATCCCTGGAGATATTTAAAAATAGCTGTTCAGAGTGAACCAGGAAATGACTTCCACAGACTATGACATGGTTGTCTCCCATACTCTTTAATAAAAATCTCTGTAGCTTTATTCAAAATCCTCTCATAATAAGAGAGGGTGGGGATATGCATTTTCTTTCTCCCCAGCCACACAAATCAAAACTGGATGACAAGTAAGGCAATGACACAAGGGAACATCTAATGTTTTCATTTTCACTCCCCATGGTGTTGAAAATGACTTAAGACAAGAGGGGCCATTCAGGCACAATCATATCCATTGACCTGTTTCTCTGTTCCAGAAGTTAGACAGAATATCAACTGTGGTGCTAACCAGGGTGGTGGTGGTAGTTATCATATATCACCAGTTTATTCTGCTTTTTATTAACTTCTTTTCCTTGTCTGCATTCATGTTGAATTTCTTACTTTTGGAGCATGGCTTTCCTTGCTGGTTCTCTTCATTCTTGCTTTCATTTGTCAGCTTCCCTGGAATTAATTATGATTAACAAATAAATAGGCTTCCATGTTGTCATTTGCTCTAGCTTCTGCATATGCATGGAACAGCCTATGTCTTAATATCCATCTTTGTGTTCTTCCTTATTTTGGAAAGCATTTAAATGAGATGTATTTCCAAGTACAATGGCTTTCCATATCCATAGAATTGGCATCCATGGATTCAACTAACCATAGTTTGACACACACACACACACACACACACGAAATTGTAAACCTTAATTTTTGCCATCTATCTAAAAATTAGGGGGTGCTTTGAATGTGATTACCCTACTTCTTAGCAGGGGTTTGGACTGGATGGGCCACAAGGTCTCCTCCAACTCTATGATTTGAAAGTCAAGGCATGTCTTGCCTGTTTGTACGTATGTCTGTATCACAAAGGCTGTTTCTAGGTGACAATTCAGTGTCCCTTAGTGATGTCACTGGATTGGTTGTTGCTAGGTGAAGAATTAACTGTTGTTAGGCAAAGTGACCCCCTGTGATGTCACTGGAAAGAAAAATGACATGTGTTTGAGGGGTAATGAGGAGGGAAGGAAAGATACAAGGAAAGCCATGTGGCCATGGAGACATCTCAGAGCTGAACAAGGGAGAAAGGAGAGGGGAGGGAAAGAAGAAATAAGGGAGGGGGAGAGGAAGAAGATATGAAAGGAGGAATAGCGAAAGAAGGGAAAGTAGGGGGCAGAGGTCCCTGCGACATCCAGGCAATACCACATATATACTCTAGTTGTTTTGCTATACTACTGCACGAATACCAAAATCCATGGATGCTCATCCAATAATGAGCATCCATGGATTTTGGTATTGGTGGGGGAAGGGAATCCTGGTTAGTTATTACTTTCCAGAGTCATCTCATTGAATCAAATGATGAGTGAACACATAGGGAGATCTCAGTGATTCACTGAGCATCCCCTATTCAAAGCACCCCCTATTATTTAGAAAACACTAAAGAGTTTTCTCTAACAGCAGAATTCAGGTCTTCCTTTTTGCATGTTCTTTCCTTCCTACTGTGTTAGTCCATTTTGACCGTAAACCTTACACAGGGACTAGTCTTGTTAAAATTTATTCTGATAATAGTTTTAGTTGCTTTATAAATAAAGCATACTGATTTTTCTAGTAAAGCTGCAAACATAGTAATGCTGGTATATTTTGCAGCTGCTATGTGACAGCTAAGGAGCCTTCTACACAGCTATATAACCCAGAATATCAAGGCAGATAATTCATAATATCGGCTTTGAACTGGGTTATCTGAGTCCACACTGCCATTTAATCCAGTTCAATGTGGATTTTATACAGCTGTGTGGAAGGAGCCTAAGAATATGCTCCAAGAATCAGTATTGCTAGGGTCTGCTTTCAAGACATCAGTACATATTATGTCACATATGTAGTTCAACCAGCCAGATGTATTATTTCAAGATATAATAGATTCAAAATATGAGGCCTAAATTAAATTCTGGTTAGTTAAATTTGCTAAATTCCCAATCCCCCACCCCCTAAAAAGCTCTTGTTACAAGAGAGGCAATACATGACATAAAAACTGGCTGAGATCCTAATTAGGACCGCACAAGATTATTTTGAAAGTAAAGTTAACAATACCCAAACACCTGGATTGAGCTGCACAACGGCTATTTTATATACTTATTAACTCTTTACATCAGCTGTAGAGTCTAAAACATGGGGAGAGTATGTGTACCATTCCAGATTGCAAACATCAGTTTCCAGAAGCCCTAGAGAGCATGCCCCAACAGGAGAGTATTATGGGAGTTGTAGCTCAATACTTTTGAAGGATTACCATTCCTGATATAAAGCATAAAGTATTGTTAGTGTCTTTGTTAGGAGCCCTTGTTGCCACAATGGGTTAAACCCTTGTGCCGGCAGGACTGCTGACTGAAAGGTCAATGGTTTGGATCTGGGGAGTGGGATGAGCTCCCTTCTGTCAGCTCCAGCTTTCCATGCAGAGACATGAGAGAAGCCTCCCACAGGATGGCAAAACATCCAGTTGTTCCCTGGGCAGTTGCCATGCAGATGGTCAATTCTCCCACATTAGAAACGATTTGCAGTTTCTCAAATCACTCCTGACATGAAGAAAAAAAAACCCACTATCTTTGTTGTTTTAATGGAACTCATATTGTTAATCTATTGGAGCATATATGCACGAATATCTGGTCTGGTTTATAAGAATGACTTTTTTTTTTGCTTTCAAAAGGTTTGGTGTGGAGCCTCCTGGTTTAATCAAACTGGAAAAAGAGATTGAACAAGAAGAAACACTTTCAACCCCTCTTCCATCTCCTTCACCCACTCCATCAAAGTCACCTGGTAAAAAGAGCACAGGAAAGATCTTGGATGATGCGGTAAGATCATCTTGCCAGATGTATTTCTTCACTAATTTCATTCTCAAAGAAAAGAACAAGTAATTCCAGTATTTTTCCCAACTGCTAAGAAATCTTGAAATATGCAGTTCTCAAAGAATATTTGCAGTTTGGAACTTATTCTGTGGAGGAAAAGATCCATGATTTGTATGGAAAACAGATTTTTCTGTGTGAATTTTGATGTATTTATTTATTTTTACACAGAGAAAGTTGTGAACTGCAAAGATTTTAATCAGTCCAGCATTTTCCTTGTCAGGGTTTTGAGAAACACATTTTTCACTCAGTTTTTAAAAAAACGTTTTCAGATTTTCTTTCCTTCTCTACCAGACATTAATGGTTTTCATTTTGATATCTAAACAGTACATGCTGGTAAACCTTCTTGTACTGTCAAAATATGCATTGTTTCACATGAATGTATTGTTTCACATGAATGAAAGAGGCTTATCATTTAACATGTCTTCATGACATCCCATTGGATTACTGTAATGCCCTGTACATGGAGCTGTCTTTGAAGAGTGTTTGAAAGCATGAAGCTGGTCCAAATTGCTGTAGCCAGATTGCTAGGGGCTGACCACAGGGAATACAACCCCCTTATTTCAAGAACTGCAGTGGCTGCTGAGGACCATTCAAAGTGTTGGTTATGACCTAGCCCTAGACCACTGGTTCTCAACCTGTTGGGACCCCAGATGTTTTGGCCTTCAACTTCCATAAATCCTATCAGCTAGTAAACTTGCTGGGATTTCTGGGAGTTGTAGGCCAAAACACCTGGGGACCCACAGATTGAGAACCATGTTTTTGAAGGACGAATTGGTTCTTTATGACTCTGCACATGCTTTGAGATGTGTTGGGAAACTCCTTCTCTCTGTCCTATTGCTTGCACGGAAACACAGTAGATGGGCTTCTCAGTTCTACCTCGAGGTTCTGGAACCCCCTTCTCAGAGAACTTTGATTTACACCTTCCTCTCTACTGTCTTTTTGCATATATGTAAAAACAGGCATTTGATATGTGACTAATATAAGGCCCACTTATACAACGTGTTGCACACTACCAATTGTTATGATGATGATGTGTATTTTTAGTTATGTATATTTGAACATGGTCTTAATTTTTTGATTAATTGCATTTGTATCTTGATTTTAACAATGTCTTTTTAATAGTTTTGAGTCTCACTCTGAGAAGTGGGCAGGGTAGAAAAAAATAATAGGAGGTGGCCTAACTATGAAAGACTTTTTAGCTAAGGAGAATAATCTTGTATTGTGTCTGGGGGCAGATTGGAAACCAGTGTACATTTGTACACAACAGATGTCATTGATCACAGATCAGGTCAAGTTGGGTTGCCAGGTGAGAAAATTGCACCATTAAAGGCAAAAGACCCCCTATTTTTATTTTACTTTAGATCAAATATATATTATGAGTGGGACTAACAGTAGCTGCAAGGATCTGCCCAACTCTGCCGTGTCAATGCTTTTATATGGAGACTGAAGCTGATAATTTCTGCACACAATGCACTGTGGTATTTTGCTTACACAGTAACACAACTTTGGAGAACTATGGGTTAAACTGGCAAGTAGAAAATGCCTACTAAAAAAAAGAGTGTTACTATGGCAACTGTTTTATCATATGGTGGGATGTGCCACCTGGGAATTTGAAAGTGCTCCTTGAAAGTCTGTGCCACTCCCAGCTACAATGAACAGATGGAATTCAGTGTATTCAACAGGGTTTGTGAGATGTAATTTATTGAAATATAAATATGGTCAGGTTTAGCATTTTTCTCCCACCCTTCTTGAATCGTTCGGTTTTCAAACTCTTGTGCTACGATTGTTGAAAAATCGTAACAGCAAAATTAATTTATTTTGACCGTGAAAGGGAATTGTAACCCCTGTGGGTTTAGAAACAAGGGAAAGCCATTATAAAGTATGGCTTGGGTGACCTCTAATTTATCATCTAAAATTATTGCTAGAGGTCTGTGGCCTCCTAAACCTTCCTTATACATTGACTGTACTTATAGCAGTTTTTACATTATTTAGATACAAAGTTAAAGAAGGACTAAGTCCTACCTTGACTCAGCACAAAGAATTTCTTCAATGTTGTTATAAAAACAAAAAGAATAAACAAATATTTATACATCATATAGAATAAACACAAAATGTTTTGTTGCTGTTCTAAAACAGGAGCCTAGTCAATGTGGAAAAATCCTTCAAAAGCAATAAAGACAAATCTTAGTCCTGTGCCATATATTCAGCTGAAATGAAGTGACAGCCTCCAGCTCTATTTAATTATTATTTACTGTATTTATATAACACCTTTGTCACCCCTGGGGGGACTTTAAATTTTGATGTTCCATCTTGGGCAGCAAAATATATTTTTTATTTTGTTTTTAAAATATCTTTGTTGAAATTTTATGTATGAATAAATAATAGTAATAATAAAGGTAAAAAGGGAAAATTGTTAAAGTGTAGGAAGGGGAAGGTAAAAGGGACTGAAATTAGAACAAAATAAACAAAGAAAAAAGAAAAGGTTTATTTTTTTTTAAAAAGTATTTTGCTTCCAGTTTTCCATCATGTTGTTATCTTTCTTAAGAATGCTCCACTACTTAAAGGTTGGTTAGAGCCCAGGAAGGGTTGAAGCCAAAGCTAGTCTGAGTAAGTAATACATGAGATCATTTACTACAGGTAGCCCTTGATCAGGTAATAAGAATTGTTAACCTTTAAATGGAGAATCCCAGAAGCAGATGGAAATACTACAATCATGTCTAGCCATGTTTGCTTTGCGGTCTTCCAAATGGGAGTTAGAACAATGTAAAATGGCTGCAGCTATGTCAAAGTAATGTGAGATCCTCGCATACATGCATAGATTAAACCTCTTTTTTCATCTTTTCATTAGATTTTTCTAGCTTTTGGCAAAATACTAAACATCTACAACCAATATGCAATTGTCAGCAAATCTTGGAAGAAGTGGAATCCCACAACGCCCCTGTATGCTCTCAGTATTTGTTCTAGAGAGCTGAGAGACCCTGCAGGGTCTAATTTAAGGTGGCCTAGAAGGCTGGGATGGGGAAAGGAGGAAAATATTGTATTGTGACACATGGGCTCAAGGGAAGAAATGGTTTCCTCTGAGATACACTTATGGTGTTCTTCTACCAATCCAAGGATATAACTGGTTCATAACCTTCAGCAGAATATAAAAAAAATGATTTCTTCATTTTCACTTGCAGCTTGTAGATGTCACGGAGATATATAGATGGCGGCTACTACTAGAAGCATAATACTGGCCTAGCTCCAGGCAGGGCTTTTGTTATATTTGTATGATCTGAGGGAGGAAAGAAAAAAAGATATTCCTAAGAAGATGTAAAAGTTGATCTTCCATCCATAGGTATTCTAACAACATATTTACCCTGCTGTCAGTCTTTTTTTACAGGCTGTTGGTTCATGAACTAAATCTGAAAGGTCTCTGGAGCATTATCCAAAGAGGGTGAAATCTTTAGAAAATGCCTCTTCATTTGACATCAAAACATTAGGTCATCTTTCCTTCTAGAAACTACATCCTCTGGAAATTATTGTATTCATGTGCTTGTCAGTGTTGGTTTTTTTTTAAAAAAACAGAAAATACAGCACTAGTGCTGGAATTTCAAATTAGAGTTCACTCAACCGGATCTGCTTGCTGGGCAGTGATGTTTCTGCCTGCTTCAGCTTGCTGACAAGTATCAAATAGCCTAAAAATATAGCAAAGCTCAGTAATACCTCACATAGTTGTTATGCTTAAAACAATGGCCCTTTATCTTACCATGTGGAGGCCCCCTGGTGGTGCAGCAGGTTAAAGCACTGAACTGCTGAACTTGCTGACCGAAAGGTTGGTGGATCGAAACTGGGGAGCAGGGTGAGCTTCCGCTATTAGGCCTAGCTTCTGTCAACCTAGCAGTTCAAAAACATGCAAATGTGAGATCAATAGGTACCTCTTCTGCAGGAAGCTAACAGAACTTCCTGCAGTCATGTGTGGAGGTGTCTACAGACAACGATGGCTCTTTGGCTTAGAAATGGAGATGAGCACCACCACCCAGAGTTGGACAGAACTAGACTTAATGTCAGGGGAAGCCTTTACTTTTACTTATCTTACCAAGTATAGAATAGAATAAAATAGTGTTGTTGGGGTACCAAATTCCCATTCTCTAGGAGAATTCTGAAGAAAGTGTTTATTCGACCAATGAAAGAACTTGCAAGTGAAAGTTTCATTCTGCCACATATGTTTATTGACATTATTTGGTTCATGATTCAGGCTGACTTCCTAATAAGTGATTCAAATCTAGGATTCAACCAAAGAATACACATTACTAGTTTTTTACAATTTCATACAATTAGATCCAATCAGATATGTAGCTGATCACATGAAAAAGACATTTCATATCCAATATTTCACACATATAATTTCCAATGTAAATTGAGTGCAGATCCCCTTAAGACCCCTGTGTTGACCTATCACTTTCATGAATACAAGGGTTGGTATGTGGGTTGGTAATGTTTTATACAAATGTAAGGAGAACAACTCAGTTTAAATTGAGCACATTTTTTCCAGGATTCATAAAAGTATGGGCTGGAAGTGGGAATTCATAAAAGTATGGGCTGGAAGTGAGGAATGAGACCCAGAGTCCTTAACAGCTAAAAGCTCAGGCTGTAGTTGAAATGGTAGAGAGAAAGAAGGTGTTTAGGAGATGGAAGGGGAATGTTACCTGTATGATAGTAATGCAAGGCAAAGAATGCTCAGCTCATTTGCCTTATAATTCCGCTCCCTGCTTAGCTACTGTTTTTAAAAGGCCATGAAGTGTATATTTACTTACAGTGGTAGGGCTCTTGCCTTCTTTTTCTTCATAATTTTAACACTGTGGAGTAGTAATGAAGTGTTAGGTGTCAAAACTGAACAAATGGGAAAGAGATTTCATGGAGTTTTGAAATGAGGTGGAATAATCTGTGAAAAAGAGAGAGAGCATATATACACAAAGAAGATTAGTTTTGAAATGTTGGGAAGACTTCCAAATAACAGCATGAAAATTTATCATCTGTCATAGAGGTACTGTTGTCTACTAAACATGCCAAAATATGAACTTGCTTGCCTTTTTTTTAGGTGAAGCATATTTCAGAAGATCCTCCTTGTAAATGCCCCAGTAAATTTTGTGTGGAGCGCCTTTCCCAAGGAAGGTACAAAGTTGGAGAGAAGATCCTTTTCATCAGGGTAAGAGAGTTTTTTTGTCCATTTAATGGAGGATTTGTTTTGTTTTTTTGATGAGCAGCTATAATGAATGTTACTTTACCATATTGATCTGTCTACAGCTGTGGCATATTTAGTTTTCTCAGACAATTGCTAACTTGCATAGAATCATGTCTCTATTGTTGCTTTGTTGGAAAAGATCCAACTTTCTCACTTTTAGGTATATCACGTTGTTATCATACTCAGCCTCTCTTCACCTACCAAGGGTGTATCAATTGGAAATAATAATAAGTTATTTTAAGTGTTATCCTACTGGTAAAATTATAGTTGTTTATACTATTTTGCTAGTAACAGCAACACCTCTAGCATAACAGGTACAAAGAGCACAAGCAACACTGAGCTGAATAAAATTGTAATTATTACACACTGCATTGGAGAGCAGTTGGAGCAGTGGCTTAATGTTGATGATGAACTGATCATTGCCATGTTTTTTTGTTATTGAGAAAGTTATGACCTCATCACATGAAGCTTTTTCCTCGTCATAGGACACTTCATCTCCATTTCTAGGATGAAGAGGCACGAAGCCCATCACATGATGTTTGCCTACTTCCAGCCATCATCCATTGCCTTTCATCCTTGAAATGGAGATGAAGCATGCTTAAAAGAGGGAGTTCAGAACACAAGCAAGTAACCGTGTTCTGAGCACCTGGCATGTGCCAGAACTGTCACTAACACTGAAAACATATATAATGGGATCTGACAGATTTGCCAGTGTTAAATTGCTTAAGTGATGTGGAGCAATGGGCATTCCTCATGACTTTGCTGTCACTGCATTTTCTCCTTAATAGTAATTTAGGTTCCATAGGAAGTGGTGGATTTCTCCTTTACACACCATTTTATGAAGTGCCCCTCCACAATCCTTCTGTTGTTTAAAGTGCTTTAAAGACAATGTAGGTCCTAATGGAAGAAGTGTTTTAAAAATGTGTCCCATCTCCTTTAACATAATGGGTTTTGGATAAGGCAGTTTTATCACATGTAAAGAAGAGGTTTTAAAGTGGTGTCAATCTCCTTTAATGTAAGGGGCTTTGGGGAGGGCAAGGGATCTCTTAGCTTTCGGATGTTGAAGTTTTCTCTGATAAAAAAAGCAATATGGAGAGGGCAAAGAAAAGGATTCCCTGTTGGATGTGTCCAAATGCAGGCAACAATGAGCAAAAACCCGAAGAGGGAAACATGTATTGTATCACCCAAGAAGGTTCACAGGAGGACAAAACAGAAGTAAAGAGAAATAGGCAATTTATATGAAATGGGTAGAAGGAGGTGAAGCCAGCATAGATATTGTACAAAGATTAAAAAGGTTGTCTTCGTGGTTAAAGATAAAGATATAGGGGAAAGTGGTGGGAGGGGTAGGGAAGGGTGGTGGGAGAAGGTGGGAGAAAAATAAAAAAATGTAAAATGAATGAATCTGTAAAGAATGTGAATAGATAATACTATAATGTAAGCCTACAATAGACATTTATTATCTGTTCAAATATGATGTTATTTTGTTTTCAAAAAAAGAAAGAAAGAGAGAAACATGTATGATGGGAAGACAGAACTTGAAATGGGACGATTGGGATCTAACAGTATGATTCCCTTTGCTAGACAGATGGCTCCCAAGGTCCTTAGTCAATATTTGAAAATATTTTTTTCCTAGACTGAAATATTAATTGTTTAAATTGTAAAGAGTCTGGAGGATTTAAGAGATACGTGAAATACATCTCAATGTGGAACTTGTTTAGCATTCTTCTGTACTCCTGTAAAATTGAAGAAGTTATCAAACTTTAGCATGGAAAGGTAATGTAGTTGCTAAGGAAACAGAGCCAGACCATTTCTTTGGGGACTTAACCGTATCATCAGCAGGGTTTATCTGCCTTTCTGTTCTACAGAAAGGTTTATGATGAATTCTTGAAGATTGACAGGACTGAAATTTTATCAATAATTAATTTTCTACCAAATACCTGGGCAGTAAAATGCTTCCATCATGTACCTAAAAATCCTAAAGATTAATTGAGTGTATTTATTGAAGTTTGTTCCTAATTATACTATATCACATTTATTGTGAACATAGCCCTTTACAGAATTAAAGATCCAAACCCCAGAAAGTTACAAAGTATTTTTTCCAGAAGGGAAGAAAATGGGAAAAGGAGTCATAAAGAAAAAAAAATGAGGTGGTCATATAAAATAAATGAAAATGTGGATGCAAATATTTAGGCTTATTTCAGAATATTCTGGAAATTGTGGTGATAAAGAAAGAATCAGAGATGGAAGTAAAAGCCTAATGCCCCTTCCACACTGCCCCTATATCCCAAGATCTGATTCCAAATTATCTTCTTATCCTAGATTATCTGGCAGTGGAGACTCATGTAATCCAGTTTAAAGCAGATATCCAGGATCAGATCTTGGGATATAGGGCAGTGCAGAAGGGGCCTCAGATACCTTGTGTTTTGGATTTATGAGAGTCTTTGTCAGTGTGTAATACATATTGTGTCTATATGACAAGTAAAAAATAAGATTCGTTTTCACAGGGTGTACTGCCACACTTAGACCATTACTTTGCTTCAACTAAACACTTAAAGCAACTTGATTGTTTAAATTTGTGATCTGACACTTTCCGTTTTCATGATATGACAACTGTTTATGTTTTAGTAGATGTGTGTTGTTTTTGTGGTGGTTTGCGCTTTTCATACCATGCAATGGTGTTGTTAATACCTGTCACTGGACTCTACAGCACTACTCATTCAAGATTCTCTTTGTCTCAGGGAAGATTTTTCGAGACTATCATAATACGCTTACATCTCTTTGGATAGAAAGTTTGTCCATTCACATTGGAGGAGTATTGTTATGGCAGGGTCCTTGAAAGAAGAAAAGACTGTGTCATGTTTTTTAAAAAGATATTCATTAACAAGTTAAACTAGGTTGAGCATCCATGACTAATAAGATTATCATCCACACAAATGGCCAATGAGTTCAGGCTTTTTTTAAAATGTGAAACATCATGTGTGAATTTAACCTATAAAAAAGTAGTTCAGTAAATGCTATTCATTTCCATTTTAAGGGACCAGAGAAGGGCCAAATATGGAGAGTGTGGAGGAGTTCTGAGATGCAAACTTAGCAAGGATGGAGCTCCACACTGCCCACTCTGGGTAAACATTTCTTAAATTTTGTGGCTTAGCATTTTGCCATTCACACACACAAAAGTTGTCAGCTGTGGTTGATTTTTTTTGTCAGTTAGGAAATATTTAGTTTTCAATCTCATTTCTTTAAAGTTCCACCAGGAATTGTTGCATCTCCCCCACTAGAGATGAAAATTGCTTTAGTTTTAAGGATGAGAGAGAAAACTATCAAAGGTGTAATGTAAGTGACACAAAAAGGCCTACAACTAAATGTGTATCAATAATAATGGGGGAAATTAGTTTTCAAATCAGAGAAAATAGTCACTGGATGATGCATAACCATGAACTTCAGGATATCTCAATTCCATCATGGTCATGATATACATAGCATGTGTCCACCAAGTGTGCCATTCCAGAAGTTGTAGCTGTAGATCTACTGGACACTGACTGTCCAGAATTGAATGCTTGTGCTATTGAGGGAAAGGCGTTGTAGAAAGAAGTACTCGATATCTCTTTGTGCAGTATCTAAAAAACTATTTATGTTGGCACAAGTGAGAATAACGTTATTTTCTGAAAAGGTTCTAGCAATGTATCCTTGCAATCTTATGCATACATTGCATACTTAAGTTCATTGAACCCAATAAAACTAACCTCTGAGTATACACACAAAGGATTGAGGTACATAGCCAGGAAAAAAAATCCAGGGCTTTAAACCTATATTTATTTTTTATTTTATTTATATATATATTAGCTCCTCCATATTTTCTTTCATGCCTGCATTGAAGAGTATGATTATTTAAATCAAAATAAGCTAATGACAACCTGAACTTGTCCCTTTTAACATGGTCTACCTGTGTCAAACTTTTTGACACTTTTCAGTAGTTGATCTATAACCAACACAGATCAGCCACAATTGTCGGGAATAACAAAATAATGTGTTTTGGTGAGCAGTATCTACATTAGTACCTTGAGAGCAGTGAATTTAGCTGCAGCATGTGTCAGCTTGACATATACTGGCAGAACTTTAAAAGATGTGTTCAGAGTCTCTCAAGAAGTTTGAGCAGGCCAATTTTCAGACGAGGTCTCTTTCTCCTACTGTAAAACACAAATTTATAGCAATACTCAGCTGTCTTGTGATATCAGGATTTTTTAAAAAGTGAATTTGTCTTTTCAAAATAGGTTCACCAGGCTTCTGGTTTCAATCCCAGGTTAGTCACAAATCACAGTCTCTTAAACTCTTTGCCAGTATTCTCCCTTTTGATGCCAAACTTATTAGTATATAATGAAATTCAATTCAAGTTTTACATGCCCAGGTGGAAGGTGCAGTAGAAATACAAAGTAGCTTTTAGGGATTGTTACTGTTGGATCACCTATTGCACTAAAGCATGTTAATACCCCCTCTCCTCCATTTGCTGACAATATTTTTTGTGAGGAGACTATGGATGAGAATGCAGATCATAACTAAAGTAATACAATATAGGCAATATTAATGTATATCTGAACACACATCCATAGTTGCATTCTGAAGCACTGTATCATACTTTGAGAAAACAGTAGATCTGGTTGAAGAAGGACCAGTTTGATTGTTTTGGCATGTTAACTCTTTCAGTGACACAATTATGACATATAGGGTTTTTTTAAAAAAAAAAGAAAAGAAAAGAAAAGGTGTTTGGTTACTTGGTTGGCTTGGTGTTTTTTATTATTATTTGGTACTACAGTTCCAACTACTGTACACTGAACACTCTCCATGAAAGAGGAATAATATCAAATTGCAAACAATAAACTGATTTTTTTTTTTTTGGAATCAGGCACCAGAGGTGTCTCTGTAATATAGGAATTAGACAAATGAGCTCATCATATGGGAGCTGCACT